AAAATTTAAATTTATAAAATTAATAAAATTCTAAGCGATAAAAAAAGAATATATATAAAATAATGAAATTTTTCGCAAAATCGATCGCGTACAATATAAAAAAACATAATAATATATCATTCGTATTTTTAAAGCGCATTAAATAAGATATATAAAATTAATAACATGAGATCCCAAAAAAATAAACTTTCGCGGATAATAGTCATATAATAAATAATTGATTAATTATCATACACAAATGTATATATAAGTAGTATACACATACACATGTGGATATAAAAATGTTAGCATTTCTTATTTGTGATGTCAAAAATTACTTTCACACAATATAATATATTATCCAAAATATGTATATATCATAAAAAAAAGTTAAACAACAAAATAGTAAAATTTTAAAATGATTCAAAAATAACAAAGAAGAAAAATATTATTCAAATTTTCAGCTTATTAGAATGTTTGGAATATAATGACAAGAAAATACATAAACAAAGAAAAATTAATTCATAATTAGATCATAATTACATTAAATTATATCCCTGATGTGTCTAAATTTATTTATTACTCACAATGAGTATGCATGTACGTGTGTATGGTAATATATCTTATAAAACTGTAAGTAATTCAACTGCAATCCTAAACTATTAATAAAATAATTAATCGATTATAGAGAAGAAACATAAAAAAAACTATGAATAAAACAAAACAATGGTAACATTGAAAACAAAATGTGGGTAAAAAATTAAAATCTGAGTAACCTATGAAAAAAAAACAAATTACAAAAGTAAAAGGAAAAATATCTTGAAAAAAAAAATACATAAAAATAGTAATAATAATTTTTATTGCTATTTTGATCGTTCCACTGAAAATCAAAAGTTCCTATTGACAAAGAACAAACTAGATCTTGACACATCAAGTCTAATTTCCCATGTAGCAATGATTTTGACATAAATTAATGACACTGATATTTTCAAAGTCAAAAAATTAATTATAAAAAATTGGTTACCATACTAACGATCTAAAAGATACTACAATCCTAATTCTGCATTAAATCTTTAATATATTTCAACAAAATCATTCTTACATATCAAAGACACAAATATTAAAAAGGGATCCAAGACTAAATATCTATCACAATGTTTCATAACTCATTTATTTTGAGGCAATAGATCTATGAAGTTTTGTATATTCACTTGTAGTATATTATAACAATATCGATATATAAATGTATATCTGACATAATTTTCACAAATTCATTACCTCATTTATAAAGTGTTTTATCACTCACCGATCAATGCGCAAGAATGGAGTTATCGGCCATGTAGTTTACAATGATTCTGTAACATACAAACAAAGTACAAATTAAAATAACGCTCAAAATAATTAATGATTTGAAAGATACTTTTTATACACGCATAGAATTTTTAAATCACTTTTCAATTAATTATCTATTAAAATAATTGTATTTAAAAAATGTCTTTACAAAAATAAACTTTTTTATTGTTTCAGATTAATTATTTTCTCTAATTATTATTTTTAAATCATCGAATTCAAATAATCCGAATAAACAAGAAAAAGAGATTAATTTAATGCAAGTAAGCAATAATCCTTACCGCAAAGTTGCTCGGCGCGCGATGCATCTCCTAAGCCTCCTCCTTCTCTTAAATTATCACTTTTTTTTCTTTACCTCTTCACAAGTTATCGAATCTCTATCAGGTTACACTTGCACATGATATGTACATTGAAATGTACTGCAATAATAATCTTTCTCTGTAATACATACAAATATATTAAAATAAAAATAATATCTAAAATAAATATATTAAAGAATAATTTTAATTAAACTTATTTACAAAAATATTATATGTGGTTTTAATTTATATAAAATTTAATAAAAATTGAATCTTGATATATGAATTATAAACATCTATAATATTTTGAAATATTTTATACATATTTGTACATATTTAATTACAACTATTTTGCTAAATATTTCAAGATCTTAAAATATAATATAAAAATTTATTAAATATTATATGCAGTACTCAATTATATTACATAAATTTATAATATTTATTACACTAGACATATAAATAATTATTTCCATTGCAGTAGTAAATAATAAAATGCTGAAATGTTTACCTCTCGATCCACCGTCATCTTTGATTATCGCTCCGGCTTCTATATCCTTTGTTCTTTCGTTTATTATTATTTCTTCGTGCTGTAACATTTGTTTTGGGAAAACAAGTAAATTATTAGTTACAATTAAGCGTTTTACAATTAGTCATTAGAATAACAATCGCGCGGCTTTATCGTACTTTATACAATAGTCTCGATGTTAACCAGAACGCGTATTTAATTGTATTGCGATGGTAAAATAATCAGAGCATACGAAATTACGGCACATTTGATATACACGATATTTCACAATTATTACATTTAAAACAAGAATACAGCATATTACATACATCTTCGCGCGGTCAATTTCACGCCAATAGCGACTATATGTGTCAACCGAATAAGTATTTTGTACAATACGCGTTCAACCGATCAATGTCAATACCGAAATCTATATTTAAATGTTGCACGAAATAAATATAAATAAGTCAGATGCAAGTTTCATTTACCTATTAAAACGCTACTTGATCCGTAATCAATTTAGCTGTCCTTTATCCCCGCAGCGATCTGCAAACGAAACGTAAATTAAGAATATGGTGAAGCATTATGGTGAAGTGGTTTCGTTTCTCGTACGCGGTTAACTTCAAGTGCTAAAAGTGACGCCACGTCGCCGCGCCGGTGACGCGACGCGACGACGCGACACTGCGCGACACCACGTCGTGATCTTAATTTCGCGTTTATGCACCTTTCAGCTACAAATACTCTACACGCGAACTCTACATTATAATAGAATAAA